GTGTGGAGAACGGGCTGGCCAGGCTAAGACCCTGTGTTATGCTATTGAAAGTACGTTTGTACTATGCGAGCGACTTGTGGACGGGCATTATCATGCATTAGAATAGGGTTGTCGCTGATTTAATCGAGGATAGGCCACACCTGATGTTCCAAAAATTCATCCACATAGCGAGTGGCCGTCAATGACCACCAATCCATTGAAATTCCCAGCTACACATCACTGAGTTACGTTGAAAAGGTCGGCTCTGGGAAAAATTACAAGCTTCGTACCTTTTATTTCGTCTTTTCCGCCCTCTTTCAACCCCATCTGGAGATCGTAGAGCAAATCTACACTCATTTGTAAAACGTACAGCAGACCAATCGTCCAAAGACCAATGACTATGTTCTCGAGCAAATAGGAGCTGTGCAACTCTGTGTTTCCTGTTCAATTCTGGTCCTCTTGCGCAGCGAAAAGCCATCAGTCCGTACTGATTTAATCTTCTTCGAGCAGTGTCTTTAGAGATTTGGACACCTCGAACTTCCTGGAGCTGATGAATCGCGTGAACATCAAGAAGGTGCCGGTTTCGCAAAATTCCCAAAGTCAAAAAAGGTCATCCTGTGGTTCTGTTAACTAGGGCGTCCATAACCGGGCCTTCTATGGTAGAACCCAGTTTCTCGAAAACGTCCAACAGCGTGTCGCAGCGTTTCGTATTGGACTCGGATAGCAATAGCCGCATACTTGATGGAACAACCATCATCAATTAATGCCACACCACGCGCAACGCCCTCATCACTAAGTGGCATTTTTAAGTTTAAAAATTGAAATTAAGAAAACAAATATGAAAACTAAACATTTATTGCTTTAGGATTCAAATGAGACTGAATAAACCTGCTAAAGTATACATGGAAAAATCCTTTATCCTTGTTTGGGAATAAGGATTAAGTGTGTTTACCTCTAATTGATATTCCCAATTTAAAACATAGCATAAACATATTAATTGGTTAAAAACAATAAGACAAATTAGGTCAGAATTTTCTTTTATCGAGAAAATGAAAAAAAATCAATTGGGTGGAATTCTTATATTATTTAATGTATCACTTGTCTAACTTTTTGTCAATTTCTCGGCCGACTACCCTTGACAAATGAATAAGGGTTTGATATTGGCAATCTTATCAAAAAAACTTTACTACTTACTATTAATATGTAGAAAATACGTTTGGACTACACCCTACACAGTTTATCGGGGCATACGGTTCCCAGAATTAAACATCCCCGTCCCTAAATATTCCCTAAAAAGACACGAAGCAATTAGTCCAGTATCAAATTAAGGCCCTTATTGACTATAATTAGTATCAAACTATTTTCGAGGTGGAAGAGGGAGGATCCTAATAGTGTTTGCGTGCCCACCCGAGGCATTGGCGTGAGAACATACCGCCTACTGTATTACACAGGAAGAATTCCTCCGAGCTGCTCGGAACAACGTATGCAAATCCGGCCCCGGGGCCATCCACATCCACCCCCTTCGACATAGGAAACCCTCCTTTGCTACCAATTATTACCAATTGGTGATATTTCCCTCTTAACCCTAACGAGGACGGCGCTGCGGCCGTTCCGACTGGTAGGCCATGGGAGAATTTTTGCATCCTTTACAATTTTACACAGTACATCTTAGGCGAGCTGACTCATTATTCGTAAAAATGTGTTTACATGAATTACAAATACTGGATCGGCCAAATAATATGCGGCAGTAGATATCACTTGGGTATTAGTATATTACTGGGGTGAAGAATTTACGATAATTTTTGTAAATTTTAGACCACATGTTAAAAAGCCTTATATAAATAAAGAATTGAAATAAAAAACTACATATGGACTTACTCAATGTCTATAAGCTAACAAATCTTCCGTGTAAACCTATTGTCTCCTATTTCACTTAAGGCGCAATCCCTACATGATTAATGCCGCAATTTGCCGTCTCAGGTCATGCTAGTGTACTAAGCCCAGAAATATATCAAAGCTATTTCTCATTGTCCACACAAGTTACTTCTGTCACGATAGCAAATAACTACAAGAACAATTTGAAAATCGTTGTGAACTGGTCTGGAACTCCCTAAAATTATTACTGTCCTACGTTTTAAAGGAACTCAAATGTATTAAAAGATGAGATGATGGATCGACCTGCTGTTGAACAACTTGGAAAAAAGAATCTTCGGTGAGGTCACAACAGAACGACAATTCTTTAAGTTTTTGCCTAGCTTTCGACGATTATATCATCATCAGGGCCATTTAAAAAAAAGTTTAAATCTTAAATGTGATATTCAAATGCACTTGAAAAAAAGCAATTAAAAAAAGAGGCATGTAATTATATGTATATTTTATCCGAGGTAACCTATACGACCACACTTAAAAAAAAGAAAGATATTATGCTGTTTTTATCGTTTTTAATTAATTCCTGTTAATGTTTACATACTGAGCTTCACCTAATTTTACATAATCTTATTATAAACACTCATTCAGTTAAAGTAAGAAAAATATAATTGTTTTTTAAATTTTGTTTTATTTAAATTATACAATATGTTCTAACTGAGATATTTTCCTGTAATAAATAGGCCCTGATGATGACGATATAATCGTTGAAAGGTCGGCAAAAACTTGAAGAACGGGAGATCCTTTTTTTCAAGTCAAATGTATTTATTAATTTTAATGTTGATTTTAAAAATAGATCGATTGGACTTTCTTGGTACTTAATAAATGATTTATTCAATTATTCAATTCACAATCAAGCGTGGACGTTATTTATTTTAGAAATTAAAATAATTTATGAACTTGTAAAAAATATTTTGTCAATATCCATATTAATCTTCTCCAAGTTTTTATTTTTATTTTTTTTTGGCATCAAAAACTATACAGCCATGCTACTTCTCCAAGTTAGTCAACAATAGTTCCAGCTTTGTCAGCAGTACGGTTCCATAGGTGGTCTTGATAGATTGATAGACGAGCAATATTAAACAATGACAGAAGGCAGTGGTTAACAATTTCTTCATTTTTTAGTTTTACAAGATTTTTCCTCATTTAATTAAACATTTTAATTGAAGATTGACGTAGAAAAGCTATGTGGGCCGAGGTGAAGGCGGAGAAGATGCTGGATTGCATTGACTTTTTCGGAATGACATTTCTTGGCGTCGACTTCTGAGAATGATGTGCCAGGGGATAGCCCGTATGAAACGGACTGGGACCACGAATACAAGCCGGAGAAATGGGAAAACACATATTCATGCGACTCTGGCAAGTCCAGATGCGGCCTAGAGATCTGTTTCACAAAGCGCGTGCTTAATTTTCTCTGTACTTCGGAACGCTGAGGGTACGCCTTCTAGTGTTCAGTGGCAGGCCTTCTCGTACGTAATCCATCTTGTCAATGTCTCGCCTTCAGTACGTAAAATTAATTTTTCTAACTTGTTGAAGTCGTTGCTTGATCTCAACAGCGGTAGAACGTCGATTACGGAATGCATTCGAAACAATAATACGATCATCATTCTGCGATGTGACACGATTACGAATTACCTCCAGTATCTTTGTAGCGATGGAAGTCCCTTTGGACAGTTGTTCTGGGAATGTTAAGCAACCTACGCTTGACTTCTGCCCCTGCCAACAATGTTATATTCTAGCCGAATCTGTACCACCTAAATCCATCGCTCAAACAAATTTCAACAACTTAAAAAACGGATCGTTAGAAAAATCTTTACAGGAAAACCAATAAAGAAGAGATAGACTACTCAAATATTTATTTTGTATATTATATTGTTATTATTGTGTATTATTATATTGTTTCACATTATTTCTATAATATGAAATTAATATAGACCCTGAAGATGACCTTTAAATAGGTCGAAAGCTTAGCAGTAGCAACTAAATTTGCTTTCTTCTTCAAGACATTGATCCAGCGTATCAATGGTGTGTTTTATGTATCTCTAATTTTTTAAAACGCTATAACATAATCAATAGAGGATTGTCTGAGAGATAATTAAAACTACTAAGGATGGTCACTTTTTGCCTTTCAACCTATTTGGGATTTTGCTTACATTGCCTCATTTTAATTATATGCTATACATTCCTCACTAATTAATTATATGTGTGGAGGCAAGGCTTCCCCTTTAGGGCCAAAAATACAAGATTTTTTATGTTTTATAATTGAAATAATATTGGAGGGAAGAACACAAATCTTCCTTCAAGTGAAACAACTCTCCCAATTTTTTCAGTTTCCCAAAAATATAGTTGACCCACTCTGCTCTCTTTTTTGCTGATCTTCGTCTCATTAGAGAAGAGGATTCAAGCGCATAAATGTCGACGAATTCACTTAGAAGGGACATAATTATTGTACTTCCTAAAAAAAATCAAGACAAAAACTACCCACAGATGCCAAATGCTACTTGCGGACTGCCTCGCACGAAACTCCTTTCAGTGAGGTGGTTGGTTGGACTCGTCTGCTATCATTTTTCGCGAGAACTCGCTTCCAGTGTAGATCCAACCTGAATGTTCACACCGGTGTCAAGATGTACCCTTGCATATATTATGTCGAGATCTATGGTAAAAATGAAATGCAGGCAGATCCACTACAGGCTCATATGCTGACTCAACACTCCAGCTATAGTACATTTACGACCCAGCTGTCTGAAACGCCACAAGCGTAACCACGATAAGAACAAAGCAAAGCCGAATCCTAAATCCTTGATTACTCACCGTACGACAAGCCGGCGAAAAGAAACCACATGGTAAAAGAACTAAACGAAGAAAACGATAAATTAATATTTTTTTAAACATGATAATTAACAGCAAAATAATGACAGTTTATGTTATTCCACTGTTTATTTATTTTTTATCGGGTGTATCTATCGTATGAGATTCTATCATTAGTTACTATTAGTGATATGATAGATAAATAGAATAGACTGATATACATTTTGAAAGTTTCTAAAGATACTTATAGGATAATATTGAACGCATGAATTTTTTTTTGTTCGTAGGTTCGACGCTTCCAAGTCGACAAAAGGGGCGAGCAAACAGAGAAGGGATTCGATAAACGCTGAAATCGCCAACCTCCGTGACTTGCTGCCGCTTCCTCCTTCGACGCGGCAGAGATTGTCACAGCTGCAGCTCATGGCACTCGTGTGTGTGTACGTCAGGAAGGCCAACTATTTCCAGCAAGGTAGAGAACAAATTTGAATATTACTGTAGAAGAAAGTCAAATATTTCAGTAAAAATACGTTTCTTAAATTAATTTTAAAGCTAGCGTGCCTGGTTCTAACGTACTGCCTACGTTATGAATCCCGCCTCTTATCCTGGCTATTTTAATTTGATTCGTGTAATTTTCGTTATATACATATTTTTGGAATGGAACTTACAATAGCGTTACAACGGATCAAAAGGTTAGGGATTAAATCTCAAAATATATTTTTTAACATATTGTTAGATAATTATTTGTAGATCGTGAGATGCGGTCTGATGTGACATAGGTTTAGAAAAACATTTTCTTTATCGTGCCAACGTTTCGATCTTTATTGAGATCATCTTCAGGGCCTGGGATTTATAAACATTGTTTAAAATTTACAAATACGTGTAGGATGTGCAAAAACGAATTTATACTATGATAGACATTTTAAATTAAAAAAATAAATTAATTAAATGAATTTATACAATGATAGAAAACATTAGAGTAAAAAAATGAATTTATACAATGGTAGAAAATTTTAGGTTAGAAAAATGAATTGCTAAAATTGTCTAGCATTGTATAAATTCATTTTTTTAATCTAAAATTTTCTAGCATTGTAGAAATTATTGTTTTTTTAATCTAAAATTTTCTAGCATTGTATAAATTTTTTTAAATCTAATAATTTCTAGCATTGCATAAATTCATTTTATTTATTTATTTTTAAAAAATCTAAAATTTCTAGCATTGTGTAAATTCATTTTTTCACATCTTACATATATTTGTAAAATGTAAACAATCTTTATAAATCCCAGGCCCTGAAAATGACCTCAATAAAGATCGAAACGTTGGCACGATATAGAAAATGTTTTTCTAAAGCCTATGCCCCAACCAGACAGCATCTCACGATCTGCAAATAATCATTGACTAACGGTCACTAAACACCACAATAGCAGTTTTTAATAACTGTTATAAACGAACTTAACTTTAACTTTTAACTCCCCGTCCAATTACATCTTGTAAATGCCAAATTTCGACAACCATTTAGATTTTGGCAATAAAATCATAGACAAAACGGTGAACAAATTCGGTAAGTCACTTACCCCGAGCTTGCCGACGGGATCTGGATTATTATTTTCCGGTTACGAGTTAGCGCCTTAGTCGGATGGCCGGGTAAAACGGTCTGGAAGAGCTCATTATATGTTAGTTATGGTTGTGATTGTGCTACTGTGGCCCACATCAATCTCTATACGTCAAAGCCGCTCTCAATCAGATGGATTATGGCTTATTCACAGAGCTAAACACATAATTAAGCTGAGCCGAGTCATTCTCCCTCATTAGTCCACCTTCGAAAGGCAACGGCCTTTGTGTTTTTGTCTTTCTCTAACCGAACCGCTCTTCCATTAACTGACTTGTAAAACGGTTTTTATTATTCGTCGTTTTGTCTAAAATTGTATTTGTTTCGCATTTTTACACCAAATCCTTTGTTTGGAACGAAAAATTTACAATATTTATACTATTAATTATATTAATAAAAGTTAAATTGTATTGTGGTTAAAAGAATCGTCAGAGCGATATAGCGATCAAGAGAATTCCGAAAAATGACAAATACAGCGAGACTAGGCGGACCAGATTAATCAGGGGCAGTTATTGAAAGGGCGAGAATGAAACTCGCATAATAACCATCAGAACTACTCTAAGAAATTTCTAAACGTTTTAGTATGTTATAGAATATCGTCGTAATCCTGTTCTGATGTACAGGACATAAAATCAAATAAAACTTTACTTGCCATACAGTTGACATGTTCGAATAGAAAGGTTACGTCAATGAAAGGAACGTTGAGGCCTACATAACTTCAACAACAAAATATTAAAACATTCTTTTACACCATAAAGCGGGTCTTCTACTAGTCATTAATAAACTAAATTATTAAATCTTGTGATGGTCTTACAGTCAAATATGACTCCTAGATATTTAACTTCATTTACAAAGGCAATTGAAAGACATGAACAATTCGAACAAACTATTGATAATATTATTTCAACAGGAAGTAGACCATATTGACATAAACAACGTTATTTTTACATAAGGAGAATTTTATGACATAATTTTTATTTAAGTTTAACAGAAGAAAGTTTTTATCCAATCATTTTTTAAAAATTAAATGTACTTTAAAATTTAAAGTGTTAAATAAATTGACAGTGTATAAGATAGCTGGGTTATCAGCAACAACCAAATAATTTTCCAGAGATATCTGGTTTTATTAATGCATGTATGTAAACCAGCAACAAGATAGGTCCAAGTAAAGTCCCTTGTGGAATCCTAGTGTTTATCGGAATCTCAAAGCTACGAATACCATTTGCTTTGGTTATTTCGGTTCGATCTTTTAAACAGGTTTTAATAAAATTTAGTAGCAATTTGCAGTACTAATTAGGATGGAATGTTCAACGGCTTTTTTAATGTCGAGAAATAAACCATTATTATCAAGAGTCTCTATTGTAAAGTGGGATGTATTGATTAAAGCTTGATCTGAAGATGTTCCAGGCCGGAATCCATATTGATCAGAGGCCATAATTTTATTTTTATTAAGTAATTTAGAAATCTCTCGTCAAAACATTTGTCTTGTGTTTTAATGAGGGATAATATTAGTGATATAGGACGATAGGTATTAAGTTCAAGTTTTGAGCTACTTTTTTGTTGTGCAGTTTCCTTTAAAACACAGTAAAATTTTTTTCAACAAAAGAGCTAGAGTTTATAAATTTTATAATTGTTTGTAGATTCCATAAATAGAAATAGGTTGAAGATTAAAAGTAGATATGCTTAGGGGGACAATGTAGTGAATCAAGTAAATTTTTTATATTTTTACTCCTATTTTGTAAATCTTTTATTACTATTCTACTTTAAAAAAATAATTATTAAGCATATCAACATATAATATTGTAGATTTTATGTTATATTTGTTTAAAGGGCGTAAATAATCTTACATTTACTCAACCAATCCAAGAAAGGTAATATTTTATATTTGAATTCCGTGACTTCTTAAAAAAATGAAGAAAGATGATTATGAATTAAAGTGGGGTTCTATGCGGGCATGTCGTCTTCAGTAATGTATTGTAGGCTCTTTGAGTGATGTGAAGTTAAACGATTTCTCTGGTTGAAATTACATGATGTAATCACGGAATTAAAATTGCTCATCTCCTTCTATCGCATTAAAGGTCAGAAATTTAGATTATTGTGAACAATTTTTATGTGAAAAGTCAGCTCAGTCGGGCGTTAGTTCGGTTGAATGTAATGTATGCTGCCCCTCTAGGTGTCTCGGCTATTGTAACATATACACTTACGAGTTTATGTTATGTAAGGGGCAAAAGTTCCGCCCGCGAGTTAAAGGCCGATTTGCATTCATTTGTAAGTGATTGTTCACGGACCTTCTCCTTCCCCGTTTCAATCTTTGACTGTCGGATTTACATATACCTTTTATACCAATCATTCGTGTATAATTAAGCAAGATTTATGATTCACTCGAATGCTATGTGATTCTAAAACGGATCATTTACATGCCAGCTTCTAATAGACCGCTGCCGATGATGTTGCGGATATCTCACTTGCATACAAAACAGGAAAGGCTTCTGATGTCATGTTGCCACCGCTAACGTTATTCGTCTAAATTAAAATGCCTGTTCTTGTATCGGCTACATTGCAGGTGTTAAATTAATTTTATTTAATTCATTTCAAAAGATCAAATAATATAATAATCCATTATATTTAGTGGACTATTGACCAAATTACTTCTTTCAATTAATTAATCTTTTTATGTAAGGTTTTGGTTGAAATGAAAAAGTTAGTGGCACGAGCGGGATTCGAACCCACGACCTTCGGCTCAATACACCGCTGCTCTAACCACTTGAGCTATCGTGACTTCGATCAGACACTAACTTCCCATCTCAACCTACAACCTTTCGAATTTTCCCTCCTTTTTGCCATTTTTCAAATGTCGTGTAATCAGGATTCGATTCTCGGCGACACCACGGGGTGCTGTTAGTGAAGTTATACTTGGAACTATATTGAAAAATGGCAAAAAGGGGGGAAAATTCGAAAGGTTGAGATGGGGAGTTGGTGTCAGAGTGGTTCGAAGTCACATCTCAAGTGGTTAGAGCAGCGGCGTATTGAGCCGAAGGTCGTGGGTTCGAATCCCGCTCGTGACACTAACTTTTTCATTTCAACCTAAACCTTACATAAAAAGATTAATATAATAATGTGCTGTAAACGGTTTGATGTGGTAAAATATATGGTAACAAGATAGGCTACATCGAAATCTGTTTATTGAAATTTCATAAAGCATGCCATTTGACAATCCTACCTAGATAATTCGATATTTTGTTCTTTGTAGAAAAAAAACTTTCTGTTTGTTCCTTTTACTTTTTCGACGTATGATACGTTTGTTACGAATATAAGCGGTAAGTAAGAGTAAGTGGTGATGAAGGTCTACGGGGTGTTTTGTAGCCCGTAGGTGATGTCAGAACAATTGTGAAGTTTTCCTTGTTGGAACTGAACGGCTGAATGGAGGTGATGCTCCAGTGTCACCTCATTACCTCGGCTCAAATGACACCGCCAAGTGGGGCCGTTCTATCTTCGCAGCACATCGCCTCACAATTAAATTCAGCCCTCTGAATCGTCTGTCCTTTTGACTTTTGACACTCTGTCTCGTCCCCTTCGAGAAAATAGCTACTCAAAAATCTAAGCATACAGCGAGACGCGATTGAAAGAAGCGGATAGACCTAGGCCCACAGTGGTTTCTTGAGCGATAGGAAAACCAAAAGTAAATAATTTTGATTCGTAACAAAACTTTATTGAGAATTATAAACGTGCATTTTCTAACGGAAATCAAATTATCGTTATTAAAGCACATAATCGATCGAGGAAGTAATTTCAACCTATTGTACGCTGCTAAGCGTGGCCAATGAGGACATCCATATGGACATTGTCCGAGGGGACAATTGCG